GACGCTGGTATACTTCTAGGTAAAAGCCAATAATTATTTTTTTTATATAAAAGTGGCACTATTATTTATATCGCTACTATCGGTAATGTTTGTAGTAGATATCTATATGGTCACATTGAGCATGTCATCTCTATTTTCTAGTCCAAATTTCATCTCAATTTTAATGTTATATAAGATATATATCAAAAACGATCATTTTAAAGCATTACGACATGCATTCGCTGGTTGCCAAGGGACCATGTTTAAATGATGATAGGCTCAGAGTGAAACAAGCTGTATGTATCAAAACTTCACTAATATATATCTTCAAGGCATCTATACGTGACGTCATCAATACAGCCCCTTGGGTAAGACACATCCACGGGCATCAGCTTTCTGTAATCTTGACCAATCAATACGATATAATATATAACCTCGCAATTCCCACAATTCACGATACTTTTGCAATGCCCGTTATTACTTTCCCGTTACTATAATCATGATGCGTCATCTGTGACGTCAGAACCTATTTTTTTAATGATTTACTGAGATTTTAACCTTTCCTTCAGGGCTCATTTGCGGTATGACAAATAAGATGTGTCTTCCCTAGTCAGCATTGTACATCTCACGGGGTTATCCTCCATGTCTTCATGTAACCTGTCTCATTAGAACGATTAACATTGTCACTAAACTCAGCAAATTTTCTTTTGAAAACTGATTGAACGAGGGAGTGGATAGTCTCGCTAATATGTTTCATGTATTAGGATAGACTGTTGTTTAATTGAGATTGTGATTTCACAGTATCTCTGGATCCTGACCGAGGTGTTTTTATAATGCGAGTATAAAAAAATGAAATGCGCAATCATTTTCCAGATGTTCTAATATGCATATTTTTCCGATATGACGAAAAAGACGATACCTCCTATAAGCCAGGAACCCCTGCATGAAGTTCTCCTATCAACCCACATTCTGCTGAATATAGAGATGCATTAACATTAAGTGTCGTCTGTACCTTTCATTCTATTTTTTTATGAGCACTTGCACATACGAAAGGGTTAGCTATTATAACTTATGTAAAAAGCGCTTGCGTTGACCAGATCAATTTCTACTCAATGTAGGATTCGTTCCAGTCTAGAAAGTTTGGTGAATACTCATACACTACAGGAAATAACAAACTTCTGAATACGATAGATCAAGAGTCTACAATGTATGAGTCGTTGAAAAACAAAACAAAAAAACATCAGTGTATCCTGTACGTGAATATCAGTATGCTCTCAACTTTATCCGTCTGTTGTTCCTATATATACTTTAATTCATTTACTGCATCATGAATCTGAAAGTAGCGATGCCGAATGTTTCAAACGAAATGCTGTTTTGGTTTTAAAAAATGATCTGATCTGTTGTGAAATAATTCGTTGAAGTGGCAAGGACAATTCCACTTAATTTCCATGAAGATGGCCCACTGGTTCGACCTCCCATAATGCTTTTATAACTGCTGAATAGTCTTGTTATTTGTGTGGTATTTAATTACGAGAAGGCCAGTGTTTGAATCACAACCTCCGACGTAGTATGAATATAGATATTAACATGAATAATTTACAAGTTCATTTGAGTGATCATTTTTGACAGATAAGCTATGAACGGCAGACCTCCAGAAGGTGACCTCCTGGTTGTGCTATCTGAAACATGACGAGTCGAAGTTGATGCATCGTTAAGCGAACGCAAAACGCCGTGTTTGTTTATGTAATTCGAACGGTGTTATTCAATCTCAAAAAAGAGAAAACACACTATTAAATGACATAAATGTATTGGTGAATCCACGAGGACTCTAATTAGGATGTATTTCTGTTAAAACGGAATGTTATAATATTCCATAACTCTTCTCGGGCTCGAATATAAATATTAGTAAATCCGAGTGATAGCTAACTGAATTCAATCTACAATATAACCAGTAAAATTACCAAACAGATATGCAGTAATAATACAAGCAACATGATATGGTTATCTTGAACCCGATTACCGATGTTGGTTGGAAGCTAAACCATTCGTATGGGTAATCGTAGGTTTACCGCTATTCTCTTTAAAACATTCATTAAGTCACTTATCATTTGCATGTTCCCATGAGCCAGTGACTAACAAAATGCGAACGCACGTGTTGGAATTGATCACTGGTAGCCAGTTTTCACAAAATCGTTCAACCTAACATACACACATCGACGAACAGAATGCCGACGATACACAGTGGAACCATAATAACAGTTCACATATTGTGCGATGAAAATCTGTTTTATGAGTTATGGTTGGTTTGCCCAAACCAGCAATGAGCGTCTTAGAGCGATATACAAGCGAACATTCCACAACTATTAAAACAGTTTATATTGCCCTATTTCCAATTGATTGTATGTTTTATAGCTTTCATATATCTGATGAATCTAAACGTTAATCATCCAAGTGATTGTCCATGCCCAGCGCAATGCGAGCGTAACATGTCGTTTATGGTGGGTTGTATTAACCTTTTAAAAATGGAGGTCATAACAATTTTGTACATTTAAGTGGTGAATCCACGAACCCAACATACCAGCTGACAGCTGCATTGAATTCGTCATAAAATACAAATGTTGCAATCTAATTTCACCCAACCCTTTTCCAGAATGATGCTTTTAATAATAATCATAAAACGAGATCTGTGAGCTATTCTAAAGAAATGTACATCAATTTTACGATGTATTATGCTGTTACGTGTATCAGAACCGCCACAATCCTGAACTACCGTAAGAGTTGAAACAGCTGTTAAGGTAACGAGACAGCGTGTAGTCAGTTCTCTCTTTCATTGCCGCGCCGAAAAAAAATCCCATTCAATAATAGTACGTATATTGCGTAAGGGTGCCGTATACGTTTGTCCATACAAAAATCATTGTGCTTGAAAGCATAGACGAGAAATTGAGTGAAAATCAGTTAAACCCTTTTATACTACCAGACGGAGTATTTGTATTGAAATATTTTGCAGTAATTCAATAGATATTATTCGCTTGAAATATGTTGTGAAAAAAGAAAACTTGAAATTCACCACCCACTGGCAGTTTAATTGCTTTTCGTTGAGTTGCTTCTCTAATTATTAAAAGGTCACGGTGTTTTCATCAATTTAGCAATGGGGACATTTATTATAAATATTACAGACTGTCAACGTAAGGCACATTTTAGGTAGGCTAACAATTGATGAAAATACAAATGATTAAATTATCACACTGAGATATGAATATTGTATCGAGTGTGTCCCATTCTTGATTACATGTATATTATAATGCATTGATTACGCACTCCATTTTTAGTCTCATTTGATAATTATCACATATAATCGAAATTTTATTGTAATATAACGATATAATATATAAGGTTTCAATAGAAACGTTCATCAACCGAGACCAAGACTGACTGTATTACTGAATGGATTTGAAAAAGAAATGAACACGTCTGTACATTTGATATGCCTTTCTAATACGAATATGGCTATCCTTTTAAATTATAGATGTATAAAATTGCGATGTTCTTTCTATTTTCTGTGTCTCGTTATTTGATTCTTATTCATAAGCCCCTATCCGGGGCTTTTTAGAATCTCCACAAATCCATTCCGTGGAATTTTACGCAGCTCGTTCATATTGGGATAATCTCTTCCCTACCAGTTAATAGGTTTAGAGATGGTACTTTTTGTATGCAACTTCCTGCCTCAATGCATGGTACGCATCACAAGAATGCAGTTTAAATTCATATAAATTAGTCCCTGACGATTAAGGCGTTTTGGGGTTCTAACACTCATTGGTGAAAAGGGGCAAGCGGTCATCGTAAACCAGTGTGTATTTTGGTCGAGGTTTCTACTCACGCTAGAATGCATAATGAGTTACATTTTATGGTCATTTGCCGTGGAATGACATTGTCTTATCTATAACTGATTTGCAAATTGATAAAATTGTTCTTTCCTAAGTTGAGTTGTGTTTAAATGTGTTGCTTGAACTGCCAAAGTATATATTGTCCCCCATAATTAATGTTGAATATATGATAGCGTAATTTGAATAATTAGACTTTCTAACTTGTGCACAAATAAGAATAACAAGAGTGATGAAATAACTACACAAATTAGTCACGTGATTCTTGCAAAATTCATAACAAAGCGCCTTCACAGTCCGGAACCATACACTAAAACTAAGTCAAAGTGTCTCTGCTAAGATTAATTGTTAATTAATTGTTCAGAATTTCAACAACAAATCATCAATGTGTCCGTTTTTATATATATCCTAACAATAAAACAAACCGTGCAGCTATCACAATAGATATCCCTGGGATATATATTGAATTTGTTTGATTTTGTTGAACTCTTGAATTGTGCTCTGTTTGTTCCGTTTGCTCGTTGACAATTTTGTTTGACTAGCGCGCGCCTGCCTTTATTTGTGCGTGTGAATATTTGATTAACCAATCCCTGGAGAGCATTCTACAAAAATCTAGGTAGAAGTGGTTACAACTTCCATGTTGATTTTCGAAATGTATGGGAGCATGTGCAATAATAACAGAACGCCATGGCTCCCCCTGATCGAAGTTATTTTCACTTCTGGTGCTGTGTATTTGTGACGTATATTCACTCGTTTTCTATTGAAGATACGGCCACAAAAACACCGCTTTACTTGTAAAAACAACTTGCATATCCTCTGTCACAATGTCACAGCCCTTGGACATGTTATGCGATATGTAATGAACAACATGTGAGATAGAATAAACGGATCTCAGCTCAGTTGATGTCTTGTCGAGCAAATTGAACGAACTGTTGCATTTCCATATGATGTAGACTAATATCCTAATTGTTTCTTGCAGTTATTCAAATCAACATTCAGTGGTGTCAATTTATGCGTATGCACGAACTTGAAATCGTATTTCGACATTCAATGTAGAACTACTGGATATTAATTGGCACGAGTAAATAGTCGGCCCTTTTGTGACAAATTCATTTCTATCTCTCTTTCTCTGTATCGCAGGAATATGGTATGACTATTCTGTTCACACAGAAATGGGTTGATTCACGGCTTGCTTTCAACGTCAGCATACTGAATGGTATAGATAAAATTACGATTGCGCACGATGTCTGCTGGGTACCCGATCTATACTTCACCAACGTTAAAGAAGGGAGCTTTCATCAAGTAACCGTAGAGAACAGGTTTATCGAGACTAACCACCTGGGGCACGTCACGCTGAGTATGAAGTGAGTAGAAATGTTTCAGAGATGCTCCCTAGTTGACTTCGCCGTTAATGTATTGCGGCAAATTCAGTTGATGAGATTCTACGTCTAAAAAGACTATTTGTAAAATACCAATTACTACCATGTTTCTAAAGCCAAACCGTTTTCGTTGTTTTCTATCCCAGTGGGCACGTCTATATATCGTGCCCGCTTTTTCTAAACGAATATATACCTACTTTGGCGGAGCACGCAACTGTTTAATGATGTCTGATTTGTGGCTTCCTTAGGCAGTGATTTTCTGAAAACCACGTTCATTTCCCTGGGTATGCTTCGCAAATAAAGCCAAATGGAGCCAAATAAAGAATTTAAATAATGCAGCTTCACTTGAAATCTGGTTGTTCATTTAAAGAAATTACACTTGAAATCTGGTTGTTCATTTAAAGAAATTACACTTGAAATCTGGTTGTTCATTTAAAGAAATTACAATTTAGTTTACGATATCGGTTCGAACTGCGTTGCTGGAATTTGTGACCAGATCACGCTGATTCATTCCCTCGTCTCTATTCGAACTTACACACATATCATACATGTTCAACGTCTGGGGTTGATCAATTGAGCAAAACGTACAAATCAAGTTGACAGTTGTGTTGAAAATAACGGGAAATTCCACTTCAGTTACCACACTTTGATCTGAAAGAAATGTGACATCACACCGTAACATGCGAGATCATGTCATTACGTGCTATAATTCATACCCCACCAGGGGGCATACAGTAAACAAACGAATCATGTTCAAAAGATATTAGTATCATAACGTAGAACTCACCTGCGTTGCCGTCTGATCACATTAGGTTATCAGTTAAGACAAGCATACGTTGTTCAATTCAAAAAGCCAATACCGTATTGTCGCTTGAATGTTAGACAGTGTGACGCAAGAGACAACCATTTAGTTTTGTCTACATACGATTGGTCCCACAAAATAAGGCTGCGTTCCCCATTCGGTGTTTTTCTCATTATTGTTTGTTTGGTTCCGGAACAACAAACGAGTATGATTCATTGTTAATATGTATTTCCAGTTTATGAAATGGTGTCAATAACTTTGACAGCAACGCATTCGTAACTACTCTACCACCCATTGATGATGTTCACCCTAGCCATCCGTACATAGGCAGCGTCTTACCGTAATTGTATGATTACGGTGGTTACAATTAATTACTGATTTGGCCAGAAATTATTAAACTTGGCATCCAAAATGTGCCTATTGGTAACCAGAGGTTTGATAATGAAACATTTCAGCTGGTGATATATTACTACACGCAAAATAAGGTCCATACAAAATAAGAATTACCATACAAACAACAATATCTATATCGCATCATGACTAATGACAATGATTCCATATAATTGAATGCACGTTACTTATGTTCAAATTCAGGTGAAAAAAATTGACGAACATATAACATAAATGCTACCGAACATAGTCCACCTTGCTTCAGCGCCCATTTATAATAAAAATTGGGGGTAATCACGACAAAACGTACGATCTAATCTACATGCACCTGAAGGAATTACCTAAAATTCTTATTTATATAGGACAGCATTGTGTTTATAAAGATACACACATGTATATATTCATTATTTGCAAGGTCGGGTGACTCACACTACCTGAACATCTAAGCATTTACTATTATTATTATCGAAAGACAAATTAGCTAGGAAACAATTTCACAATGAAATCGTGTGAACATAACACGCGTTGAATTGTGGGTTCATGGCGAAAACAGAATTCGACATATCTCTTAGGTAAATTCATTTTTCACTACATTTATTTAACGAAACGTTATTTCCGCTTCACATGTGAATGTAATACGATCACGGGTTATATACTGAAAGACGAAAACAAATCCACCAGGAATTATTGTTTATGCTAAAAATAACACTAACTCATATTCTTTAAACGCCCAAATTGTTAGCAAGAAAGCAAAGGCACCACATAGCAACTGAAAGGTGATTTCCCGTCATTGAGCAATAAATTATTATCATAAACGAAGAGAAAACACGCTAAAAATGCAGACAAACGAGATTCAACATATTTCGGTACATAGACAAGACGCGTAATCAGACTTTCACGGTGACCCTTTTATCGAAAAACACCGGATTCGACAAGCTATTTACGTTTCACTTGCTTTAATCAGCATATATGCGACAAAGCATCAAAAGTATTTGTCTCCATAAACACTGTATACACTACCACTGCAAATCGAGTATGACCATGCTCGTACATATATAGTATATATCTAAATAGAACTCGTATCTCCCAATTTATTCATTAATTAAATAAATGAATCAATTTATTCATTTATTAACATCAATGTGATGGTTTGGCAGCGTCGCATCATTTGCATAATAATGTACTCTCTCTTTATGGTAACAATCCACTTATGTAACAACATAACACTGTGAAACATCCTGGTGATACTATTCTCTAACTGGGGTCCACATCACGGCCAACGGCAGACAACGTGCCCTAAGATAGTTTATTTGCGACATTGACACTCTTCTGATCTCCTTATAGGTTGACTTTAATCCTGTCATGTTACATGGATTTCCGCCGCTTCCCAATGGATCAACAGGAGTGCGGGATGGATATAGAAAGTTGTAAGTTGGCATTATTAGTATTACGGTACATACCTGGGAAGGGGAAACAACCATCCAGGGGCACATTATTGTTACACTTTTAGTGGATATAACAATTTATGTCAGGGATACAACTCATTATTCATTCATCACACATATACTAATGTGTTTTTTATCACTGTAACTCGCATTAATGATAGTATATTTCTCTATTTAGAGACGGGAATCTATGCGACAACTATTTTTGAACGCAGTTGCTGTGAGATTGATAGCAAGATCAGATTTGGTGATTGTTACAT